AAAAAAAAAAAAAGAACAGCAAATATTGAGGAGGTGGCAGGGCAAGGAACTCCTCTAGACTGCTACTGAGAATATAAACTAGTACAATCACTACAGAAGTCAATATGGAGATTCTCCAAAACACTAAAAATAGAAAATCCATTTGATCCAGCTGTTCCTGTCCAGGGTAAATTCCCAAAAGCTAGTCATCATACTGTAATGACACATGCATACCCATGTCTACAGCACCACAGTTCACAATAGCTAAACCCTGAAAGCAGCCTAGATAGCCACCAATGGAAAAAGAGACAAGGAAAATGTGATATAGGTGGATAAAGTGATAGAGAGATAAATAAATAATATATACAATGTATGCAAAATATAATTTTATTCAGATATAAAGAAGAATGAATTGAAGTCATTTGTAGGAAAATTGATGGATCTTAACACTGTAATGTTAGGTAAAATGAGTCAGAACCAGAAAATTGAATATAACCTGGTTTCTCTTACATGAGAAACCCAGAATATGACTAAATTAAAGAGTAAAATAAAGGAGAGATGGTAGGAAAGAGGGAGGCAGACTTTTTGGAGATGGGAAAGGCATCAGATGTTGGGAGGAATGTAATATTTCCCAAAATGAATGTAAATTTTATGTGCTGAAAACATATAACAATAATTTTTTTTAAAAAATCATCAATGTTGAAATAGAACACCTATAAAATATACTATAAGACTAGATGTGTTAATGTGGAAAAAAGAGGACAGAAATGCACATAAATGGCAAGATTTCCAGTAGGTCTGCTGTTGACACCATGATGAAGAAAAAGAGCAATATCTGGTTATGAAGAGTCGGGGTGTGCTTTCCAGAAAACAGCTACGTTAAGTAGTAGACATTTACCAGAAAAACAAATGTCTTTCAAGAATTCACTCAAATTCTGGGGTTTCAAAATAAAATCTTCAGGAGAAAATAAGAAACTTAAAAAGAACAACTATCAACAACAAATAAATAAATTTGAGGAAATTATCAACTAGCTAGGGAAAAATTGTCGGGCGTATAAAGAGAAACAAAATTTTGAGTGTATTGAGAATATGCTCTCCCATCATCATGAAGTTATGCCAGAGGGCAGGCATCCTTTAGGGAAGCCAAAGGGCTTCTGGGAGTAAACATCCTCCTCATGGAGGAATTTCTTCTGGACCCGATCAGCATCAAAGAAATAAAAGAATCAGAAACCACTAATTTACACAGTTAGGCAAGAGTTGAAAGCTATACTAATTTATAAATTAGCTTTTTTCTTTTTTGAGGAGCAGTTTAAAAAATCATGGATTGAACTGCTGTATAGGAAGATTCCTGACCATTATGAATAATTAAAATATGAACAATGACATAAATGAATGCTTACTCCTTCACTTAATATTACAAACATTGGAGAAATATAATTTATGTATTAAATATGTTAAAAATTTGCACCAGTAAAAACTACTGTAATTATGAAAAGTAGGAAATGGGCAAGCAAACGGCAGTCAGATATGACGGTTTCCAATCTGTGACTCAAAGCAAAAGAGTACTGAAGGTAATTTAAAAAATAGTGAGAAAGTTTTTAGAAGTGAAATTAATATCCCCTAGTGAAGTCTTATTATTTAAAATTACATGCAACCATAATTTGCTCCAAATCAGTAAATTATGTTTCTGAAGAAAAACAATTTTGATTTTTTCTATAATTTCAAAATCTTATAATTATAACTGAAATTCACTGATTTATTTAATTACATGATGAATCTACTATCATTACTTGCCCACCCATTACATGCTACTATGCTAGATTCTTGGTTAATATACATATAATTCAGAAATAACTCAGTTATCTCACAACTTAATGAAAGCCAGAGTCATAAATATCAGACTAAAACAATATATAAACTGTAATGATTTTCATAATAAATGTATAAAGTTTAATCAATCTAAAGGAACTTCTCAAAATATTACTTCAATATTACCCTTTTAAAAATAAGAGCATTTTATTCTGTTACTCCCCCCCATAAACATAGCGGCAAAATTATCTTTGGTTTTGAGAAGAAAAACAGGTACTTTTTGATAGAATATAAGAAGACAGTTGTGAAGGAAATACACAATATCTCAGTGAGTGAATGAAGAGAATTTTTCTGGACAAGTAAAGAACAAGAAACAGTAGATGCCTAGAGAAAATGGAGAAGCAAAGAAATAGGGTTCTAATGGAGATAACTATAAAAATAAAGAGGAAATAAACTTTATATACACTTCACAAATTTCCCTAAAACACTTCACAAATCTTTGCAACTTATATGTGAATCATGAATCAACAGAGTGTGAGTTTGTGTAGAAAATTTTCATACACAAAATATTCTTTCTGGACAATCCAATTGAATTTAAAGTTATGTCTCACCTTTAAACCTTAACTTTCTATAAAAAGCTATTATTATATGTAAACAAGGACATTTAAACATATTACTCATCAAAATGAAAGGTGATCTACTCACAATTATCTGATATTTTTGAAGAGAAGAATTCCAAAAGACTTAAAATACTTGTTTCCTGTAATTCTGGCTGTTCTGATTTGTCCATAAGGAAAACATCTTTGCGTGCACATTTACAGCCATAGAGGCCAATAAAGGCAGCTTTCCGCAAATCAGATGTGGCTGCATACAAACAGATCTCTGCAATGATCGTTGTGTACATATGAACTACATTCCCGGCCCAAGAAAGATCATCTCCTGTGTACTCTTCATCCTGAAATAAGAAAATAGGCATTAGGTAATCAAAATACATTCTGTCATAATTAAGAACTGTATGTTATGCTTCAAACAAAAATATCGGGGGCTGGGGATTTAGCTCGGCGGCAAAAGCGCCTGCCTGGCAAGCGCAAGGTTGTGAGTTCGGTTCCCGGTATCGGAGAAAAACCAAAAAAAAAAATCTTCAAATTTTAAGTTGTTTAAAGATCAAAATAAACTGACATTCATAAATATTTTTAAACTTATTTAAAAACCAGTTTTCCCTAGAGTACAAAAACTACTGTAGCTCAAAAACTACATATAGCTTATAACCATATAAAAAACAATGACTTCAATTTCTTTAGAAGTCAGTGGAATGTAAATTAACCCAGTGAAATACATTATATATTGTGCTAGAAAATAATCCTTTCTAATGTGTGGTATTTTCATATATTTTCCATAGACATACAAAAATATTTACATCTTTGAGAGAAGAATTTCTATCCCAAGAATCTTAAAAGAATTCAGTAATGTAATTTTGGCAATTTATTCCAAAGAAAAAGCCATAAATGCAGATAGGATTTTATGTATGAGAATGCCAGATCAACATGTAATTAACTGTGAACAAGTAGAAACAGATTTAATGCTCAGAAATAGATGAAAGTATCTCACACAAAAACATAAACTTTAATAATAAGTTACAAAATGGAAAATATTTGTGACAAATAGTAAATGCTTTGACATATGTACATTTACTTTTATATTTAATTGAAATTATTATAACAAAGTTTTGCACATGATATTTGGCAATATAATATACAATTTAAATAAAAGCAAAAATAAAATGTTTCTATTCAGGTTGCTTTTCACATTTAAATTAGGAAGGCTGTTACCTGTTTCTCAACAGACATAATGCTTAAAACAAAATCTCTCATTAGGTCCATTAAAGTTTTCAAGCAGGTCATATTTAATTTGGCAGCTTCTCCAAGGACTAACAAGGCCAGTACTAAATCCAGCCTAGATGATGAAGAAATAACAAAGACTTTAACAAAAACTAATAATAAGCAGTTTTTTTAACGGAAATGCTCAGAGGAAATGGATATTTGGCATAGCGAGTATACTTATTTTTGATTAAGATTGGATTTGGTTGGCACTGATTAAGACAAAAGTCTACAAGAAAGATCAGCATTTTGGCCAGATTTTTGTGTTTGGAATAATGCTCTGAAAAACACTGGGAGAACTAAATAATACAAGTAATCATGTTTCTTCATAGATCCTTTCGGACATAATTCTCAAGGGCCCTGATGCTACCGAGTGCCCTCACAACTCCCCAAAGGGTTTTTTATCTTAACTTACTGCAGCTGATTCCATGGGGTGAATTTCAAGAGTATTTTTTTCTCAAAACAGAGACCAAATAAAAAGTGTCTTCTCAGATACTCCAAAAGTGTAGTATTATTTGATTTTACAAAAAGTGCAATTTCTCAAAATAAAATTAGTTTCAACTGAATAAAATACTGTTACATATTATTGTGAAAGTATTATATAGTAACTGAAATTATACCAGAACTTGTTAACCGTAAGTGTATATATATTCTGAAATTCTCATGAAATTATACATTAAGTACTAGTTTTACCCAAGTGGAAGAGACATAATTCAAAACAGAACTGATAAAAATGCAAATGTAAAAGTGCCTCTGCCCCAAGCTGCTTAATTGCCTTGATTTATAGATCATTAATACACTTAAAAGTTGGTATATTTCACAAGTACACTTAATTTTCACAACCATAATATGTCAGGCTACTAGAGTCAAATTGAAAATCAATTTCAAAAGGGAGCAGCTCTCATCATGAGAATTAAAAACAATTCTACATATTTGTACAGGGCTTTACAGATCTCACTATTCTTTCACACTATTATCTCATTGGATTTTAATTTTGGACAAATTTAAGACTTTTCAAAATGCCTTCTACTGTTAAGAAATCGAGACATTTATAGTTCTTGGAGACTCGCCCAAGTTCATATGTTTAAATTTGGTTAACTGTCGCTGAAATATTCCTTGACATAGAGGTTCTTTGTGTGTTGCAATTTTTCTTTTCCAGACCATTATTTAAGTACCTCCATATTTAATGTTAGTGGCAGATGCTGGCTATTGACCAACGACAGAACCTGAATTCTGTTCAAGGTAGCAAAATTCTCTGTTAAGATTTCAACCTCAAGATAGAATGCTTTGTATCTTCATAGAAGTAGCGGTTGTATGAGTCTAGTATTCATCAAAAATCATAGATCAGTGCATATAAAATATATTTTTAATTATATCTCAGTAAATTTGATTTAAAGTTAAATCTCCAAACTTTCTTGAAACTTGGAAGCACCATATAATACAGATTTGGCTAACATATAAACAGAAGCATATTACAAAAACTTTCCATGTAAGCTACTATTTTTCTTGTTAAAAGTTTTTTCTCCTTTGCTCATCCTCTTCCTTTTGCTTGCAGTTCATACTAGAAGGTGGAACAGCCCTCTTATAACAAGGAGGATGGAAATCACATGCTAGAAATGACCAAAAGGCAGCCAGAAAGAGCCTGAGGTTTGAGGAATCCCTTACACATATGCATTAGTACAGCACTGTTTCCATGTGCAATTTTAAATCCTTATGTGGTTATGTATGTATAATTGGGCTTCTGGCACATGCAGAAGACCAAATCTTAACAGATACACTTAGCATGTTCTTGTGATCATAAATTTTAAAGTCAAAAAATTAAGACTTACTCTTAGCTCAGCCATTAATTATGTATATAAAATGTAAGACCCTATTTCAGTTTTAATTTGCTTATGTATATACCTACTTTTAAGAGACTGGAATAAAATACTTTATAAAATGACTAGGTTCAAAATGCTGAACTGAATTGAATTACAAAAATACTATTTCTTCCAAGTAAGAAAATCATGAGTTTTGTGATTCTTTCTCTATAAGGTTTTGCAATAACAGGTAGAAGAAGTCCAGGTAACCGCAAGATGGACCGCGATTCATTCCCAAGTACTTATCATTCATAATTCACAAAATAGCCGAGCAAAGGGGACGAGAGTCACAGAATTCCTAAGACATATTTTCCGCTGGATTATACTTGATAATCATAAGGTTTGACTTCTTCCGTTCTCTTTTAAATTTGAAAATTTTATCTAACCTATAGCACTCTTATTAAAGTATAGATTAAAAAAAATCAGGAATGTTAGCCACGTATGGTAGAAAAATAATTCACCAGAAACACTATTTTCCATCAATGCTGCTGACTGCAAAAATTTTTATAAGCAAAAATACCTCTAAAAGTAGAAGAGAAGCATCAATAGAGTTTGTTAAAAATCAAAACTAAAAATCAATGTGCATAGAAAGAACTCAAATTGGATTAGACTGGAAATTTTAACCCTGTAGTAACTTCTTTGTGAACTTGTTAGAATGCAGAAAGCTCAACTATCAGTACACTGACTTGGTTTTACAATGCCATTAAATTATGCACGCACAAAGTAACTTAGAACTACTATAGATTTCATCTAATTATGTAATAAACTGAGCCAGAGTTTACCGGCTTTCAAAAATGTATTACATAACATACACATGCATTGTTAAAGTTAGGAACATCAGCATTCACGTCTTCCTTACTCCTCTATACCTGTTCTCTCAATGAGCAGAGTGTCATTTTCAAAAATAGAACCAAAATGTCCCCAATTAGTAACAAATTTAACATTTGCGTCCATGAAAGTGCATGGATTTTGTCACCATAATTTAAGAAAAACACTAAACCCTGGGAGGCAGACGTTGGGAACACATGCGTGCTAGGACTAGTCAGTGGGAAGCCTGCAGAAAACACAGAGCTACAGCTACCGCCTTTGTGCACGGCTTCACAGGGGACTCTGTTAGGTGGAGCAGAGGAGCTCCCCAGCCTCCTGAGACGCTGAGTGGGTCAAGAGAGGGAGCCAGTTACTACCATGTGACAAAGCAGCTCCTAAAGGAAAAGCCTGTACTGAACATTAAGCAGCAAAAAAAGAGAAAACCTGACTTTGAACACTGCATAGGACAAGAAGAAGGAAAGAGCATAGCAATATTTGGAGATCTGAAGTGCAAATTTTAAAAAGTGTGATCCTGGAAATGTAGTACCAGGCAAAATGAACATCTTATTTCTAAAGGGAGAATAAGTACATCTTATATTATACCTAGGATTGTGTACATTCAAGGCCTTACCTAATAAAACAGGTAATCATGTCTATTCTTAGAAATTTATTCAAACCAACCAAAACTATTAACAGTATTTAATGGTTTAAAAAGAGGAAATTCTAATTACAAATGCCTGCAAGTGAGTCTGGAATACAGGTAAATTTTAATTAGTAAAACAGTTTCATAAATATAATAACTTACATATATAAATATTTCATTACAAGATGGCATATTTTAAATACTTATTTAATTAAAATGCAACAATAAATTTCACTTTACATTAATAAACGATTATTCAAGGGAAGGATTACATAAACAAGAGTTTCCATTTTCAGCACACGTGGAGAAAGGAGTCAGTATTCCATTCTTAAATTTGATCATTTAAAAAAATGCATAAATTTATTGGGAAAATAGTTTTTCCTGTACTGCTGAAGTTTCTTTTTGGTAAAGAGTATGTTTCTAAAAGAAAAAGCATGAAGGAGAAACTGAGGTGTATATACATGTCCTCAAATGACCAGCATTATATCGTGAATATTACGTATCATATTGCAATGAACAGTGTGGAAGCTGTTCATTTTTCAATCAGAAGTAAAATACTTTTAAGAACAAAATAAATAAATTAATTAAATAAAGGAATTTAAAAATGCTTTGAAATAATAGATCTCTTTCCATTGTCTACTTTTGGCTACTTGGAAGAGATGCACATGAAGCATCGAGTCTTGAGCCTGTCTCTTTTTTTCTTTTTTTTGGTGTTTTTTTCCGGTACCGGGAATCAAACTCATGACCTGGCGCTTGCCAGGCAGGCGCTGTGCCGCTGAGCTAAATCCCTAACCCCGAGCCTGTCTCTTGAAGAGATTCTTTCTCTGGATTATTAGAGTCCATTCATGAAGCTCAAGAAAGCCAATAAGAGAGCAGTCTTGCGACATTAATTGGGATTTTAACCTTTGTGCCATATAAAAAGAAATTGTTATTAGGTACGTTGAAGATGTGCAAAGATACAATTACATTTATGCTGCAGCCTGGCAGCAGTTGGTCTGTCACAGATTATTATTATTATTGGTTTTTTATTTCCAGGTACCCGGAATCAAACTCATGACCTTGCGCTTGTCAGGCAGGTGCTGTGCCCCTGAGCTAAATCCCCAGCCCCTGTCATGGATTACTGATGGAAATACTCAAGGCAAGGAAAGCAGTGGAGACGCTGCAACGGCCATGAAGTGCTAGGGGTCCCACCCACACTATGGCGGTGGCGGGAACAGGAAGCAGGCAAGCAAGTCTGAAGTGCCATCAGTTATCCACACCACTGTCAAACAATGGGTTGCATGGGGAGAGTAAGGTGGGGCAGATAAAGGGTCTAACTTCATTAGTTTAAGCAGAAGACATGGGGAAGAAATTCAGCAGGCAGGAGGTCTGAAAGAGGAAACATTAGTTCAAATCTAGCAGAAGATAAAATATCTAGAAAAGAATTAAAGTACAAAAGCATCTTTGTAATACTTATCTCATTTAAATCCCTCACAAACTCTTTGAAGTCATTCTTGTCTCTGTATAACTGCTACACAGACTGATTTATGGGGATTAAGTCACTTGTTCAAAATCACAGAGGTAGCTAAGAATAGATCTAAAACTCAGGTGTTCCGCTTTCAGGTGGAAGCTTTTTTCACTGAGTGATGATGCAGCAATGCATAAATTGCTTATTTATCCTTCATACAACTAAATGGTTGTAAGTAGCACAGAGGATCAAAACATCAATAAGAAATCCAGGATGAATCAAAAGGAAAAGAGAAAATGAATGAAGTGAACTACCGTAACATCTCAACTCATGAGCAATCAAGGAAGACTATTAATGCACACTTTTTGAATATTTTCAGTTAGTGAGAATATTAAAAATACTATTTTCCTATTACCACAAGGGCATAGACACTATCGATATCAATTATCTGGCTGGAAAGCTGAGGCCTTGCTCTCCGTACAAAAGAGGCGATTCTCTGATTCACTGTGATGCACACACAAATACTATATGTCTCAGAAACATTTGCCTTGCTGATTTAGTTTTAAATGATCAAGCTTTTTTGGAATTCACTCATGGAGCATATTAAATTGGCTACTTTGTTTTGGGAGATATAATTTTATATGTTATAGTGCTCCACTGAAATGTCATACTGCATTTCTCCGCAGTCCTCACTGGCCAATAATTCAATTACAAACACGATTCATTACTCTCATGTAGACTAGAAAGCCTTTTGCATTGGCTCGAGCTATCTCCCCAGAGCAAAGAGAGCAGTTTATAAAAGGCCAAAATCACAGGGTGGAGCATTGAGAATGTGAAGCATCTTACAAAATTCCACATTATTAAGTGGATATCTGCTTTCCAACAAGCTGTTTGTCTCTAGCTCTGCACAGAAAAAGACCAGTGCAAAGCACTGGAAGGAGGCTCCTGAATTCTCGTTTTCTCTGCTTTCTTTACATTTTCATAATTTCTAGTCTTCAGTTCATTCATCCCTCAGTTTTTCCCTTTCTCCCATGAGGCCATGCTGTTTCTGTGATCACCTTCTTTGAGTCTTTTTGTGGACCGTGGGCCAGCACTTTTCCAGGCCTAGAAACCTGTGGCTTTAATTTGTTGCTTTTTTTTATACTACAATGCTTATGAAGAGGGTTGGAAGAAATCAGGCAGGGAGATACATGAATTATCTACTAACAGACAGCATTAGAAATAAGTAGATAAACCACTTATTTATATAGGCACAGCAATTTTTATCACTGTAACTGAGATTTGTTCTGATATGTTATGAGTAGTCTACCCTCGCATTTGAAGTCACTGAACATTTATTCATTATTATGTTATTTTCCTGATATACATGGAAAATGAAATTGACCAGGTTACTCCTCCTAATTGTTATTTGATGTTATATTTTGGGCACTTAAATAAAGGTATCACCTGTCACAATTCTAAAGCTATCCAGTTTAGAAAATATTGACAAAGTCTTAATTCTTATTAGCTTCCGATTTTTAGAATTAAAACTCTGGCAGTGTGCTTTTAAGCAGTCATCCTTTCCTTTCTATGATAAACAGTCATTCATTTATTCAGTTTACCCTCTGTTCTTCCAGTGTTGTCTAAATACTGCTATCCCACTTTTACTTAATGATTCACATAATATCCTCTGGAAACAAAACGCAGGACTAAGTGACAGTATGTCCCAAAGCGCTTATATACTAAGCAATGTGTCCAGAATGACAGCAGGATGAGGCCTGGAGCAAATGCTGCACTGGGATAGTTAAAACCTGGTTTTAGTCACTAATAAGCCTAGTACACTTGGCCTCAGTCTCTTCATTTTTAAAATAAGAACAGTTTGGCATTTTCTTTATGCCCCCCAGTCTATAAAGAACTGAATATTATAAAAACTTAAGTATTCATAGTCAAACTTAAACACAAATCATCAGCAAATAAAATTAAATGGATGTTGCTATCATAGAATAAAACTTTAAAAATTAAAGAAATAATTAATTGCCTTCTAGATTTAGACATTCTTAATCATCCACTTTTACCATTTCAGTACTTATTTAAACTGTTTAGTGGTAATTATTAGAGTACCTGGTAAATAAATTTGACAAAGTCATGTAATAATTATTTTATACATTAAGATGTAATTTCTATTCATTTATAACATCAAGCTACAGGGTTTTTTTATACAAGGAATTGAACTCAGGACCTCCTACTTGCCAGGCAGGTGCTTGTGCCACTGAGCTATACCCCTGGCCCCCTAAGCTACAGTTTTGAATAGCTAAAATTGTTTTAGTTGTTTGTCCTGTTGAAAAATAAATCATACGTTTGAATCCTTTACAACTTATTTCCTAAAATTAAAAATGGTTTGAGAGAATCTCCTTGTCTTTCAGAATAGCTCAACTTATAATGAAGAAAGTTTCCAGTCTTTGTTTTACATAGGATCCATATTAAAATATATTTATTAAAATTATATTGTCATTAATATAATAAATACTCTAATTTGGTGCACATTTGTTTTCCTATCAATAATATCTTCAGTATTAAGATGTGAAAGAATCATCATTTTTGTCCAACTCTAATACCAACAGGGTTACTTCTCCGAGGCTATGAAATAGGATGAGTGTCTTCTAAACTAAGCTATTTCTAGGAAAAGAAGTAATTTTTAAGCCATTCTCCAGAAATCTTTCCATAATCTAGAATCCCACAAACTGCTAAATATAAGTGGCCAAATGGCTTTCCTTTGGTAAGAAATGCTCCACATTTTTAGCAAGATTTATAGTTGATCAGAGAAATGTAGACTTTATACCTACAAAGGCTTTTGGTATAGAGTGCAGTAACAAAAGCTTATAAACTTTTTTAACAAAAATATATCTGAATTTTCAATTTGTTATAGCATGACAGATGATAATTATTATTTTATTAGCACTGAAAAAAGTCATTCAAAATCCTGACATACCCTCCACAAATATTAGAAAGGAATGCCTTCTGCTAAATTTCCTCAGATATAGTTCTTTGAAGTTCTTCAACAAATACAGACCATATACAATAAGCCCTCAGTTAATATCATTCTCTATGATGAAAATGTGAAAATCTGTCCTTATAGTTAGGAATACAGCATATCCATTCTCATCCCTTCCCAGCGGGCATTCACTTCTGTTACATATTACAAATAAAGCATAAAGAAATAGAATCAGTATATGTCCTCCAATGATGACAAGCTATATTTCATTGTTGTTATTTAATTACATGCAAAATAAATGAGGAACAAAATTCATATCAATTAAAAATTTCATTTAATAAAGACAAACTATATGTACTAGCACGTACATCTAGCAAAAAAAGGAACAAATTATTGATAATATGAACTAATACAAAATATATAAATTGCCTTCATCTGTGGAACTGAGAATATACTTTTTTCATAGTCAACTGAAGGGCGATTAACATTTAAATACAAAACTTATTTAACATCTAAGTACAAAGGTTTCTCCCTGAGTTACTCGGGATTCACAGCATCACTCTTACCAGCATTTCTTCTGAAGCTGCATTTTATGCAAGATGAGATGCTCAAGCACGCTGTTCAGCTGAGGACTATTGCTCAGAACACAAAACCAAGCAGCAACACAGTGCCAGAGCAGGGGGTTAAGTTCATATCCTCCATCATTACACTGCAAATGTGCCTGGAATGAAGACAAAAATTATATCTGTGAAAGAGTTATTTAACTCCAACGAACACAAAAACAAATTTTAAATGCACATGCTCTTACACTTCATGTTTCACGAAGGAGAATAATTACTTAAGTATACTTTGGTAAGTGTATATAATTAACCTAAACCCAATGTATGTATTTTCACACAGTATTTTATATGACATGAGTTTTATAGTAACACAAAAATCCTGCATCCTCTAAGGGACAATTTTAGACACAGTTGTGTTTCAAACAGTTTATGTGACATTGTTTTTCCTGATACTGGGGGAAGGATGAACGGGAGAAATATGAAAAAAGATCTACCAACACACTAGACTTTAAAATGTGAATTTCTACTTTTAAGGAACAGAATGTATGTTTTACAGGACATGATTAATGTCTGTTAAGTATTTTAAGTTCTGTTAAAAGCCTACAAATTCAGGTAACAAATGGGCAGTTGTTCACTTTTTCTCAGAATTCTTCCTGACAGTGTCATAGATTTAACGGGTCTGCTACACTCCTTGAGATACACTAATGACATAGCACTTTCATTGAGTTTTTTCTAACCCTGAAGACACAAATACACATTCTGCTTTATGTACCCACATTGCTAACTTAGCTGATATTTTGTCCTGCTAAAAAGAAACTCATAGACTCTAAAAGACTCCCTAACTTTTATTGTGTAGCACTGCAACATCAAAGAAAAGATAATATTCATGTTGATATCCTTAAGCTAGTAAAAAAGATATTCATCCATACATTCAAACTAAGTCATTTTAAGTTTCTCGTAAACTGTTAATTGAGTACCACAGATGTATATTAATTCACTTTATGTCAGGAACTCAGCTAGATGCTGAAGATAAAGGCCTAACTGAGACAAAGTCCTCACAAGCCTACTGACTCTGGGGAACAATAATTCCAACAGGAAAATGAAAACAAATCAGTATTTGGAATGTGAGATGATTCCACAGGAAAGTTCTGTTCTAAAATTATGTGAGGCACAGACCGAGGCATGCTGACTTCAGTAAATATACACATAACTCATTTTCTGCTTTATGGTGAAGCCCATCCAAAAAGTAGAGCCCATATAAACGAAATTCTCTTCTCAAGTTACTGAATGCCTGACAGTCCTCAAGTAGCAAACTTATTCTGAATAAATAGGTAAGTAGATATGTTTGAAACTTTGGGATGAATTAATTAAATCAAAACAATTTTTAAAAAATCATATATAGTGAATGGCTATGTAGATTTCTTAAAAGTCAGGTGAAAAATTATTCTGCTAACACACTTATGTTCCATCACCAGAGACAATTCCTGGAAGCATTTGATAAAGAAAAGATAAGGATTGAGACAACGAATAAGATTTACATCTTATTTTCAATTTCATATGAGGCTATCTTTCCTCATCATTGAGAAAGATAAAAAGCAGCCTCTGACATCTAGGATTGATTTGACATTGTGCTATTACGGTGTGGTCTGACACTGACAGCCAGGTCATTTTGAAGCCTTATTAGACAAAAACTCACAAAATACCATCTCAAGCCAGATGTGGTGGAGCATGCCTGTAATCCCAGCCCTAGGGAGGCTGAGGTAAAAGGACTGCTGGGAGTTCAAGGCCAGCCTTGAATACATGGTGAGTTCAAGGTTAGCGTGGAACACACAGTGAGACTCTGTTTCAAAAAATAAAAATTAAATTAAATTAAGTTAAATTAAAACCACCTGAAATAATATTACTGAGACCATGATAAGCAAACAAAGCCACTTGACAATATTTTCCTTAAACACAGACAAAAACAAACTCACTATCCCACACAACACCCAATCACAGAATTGCCCCTAACAATGTGAAACCTAGAAGGAAGCCCTACTTCCTTAGCTTCCCTGCAGATCAAACCATATCATAGATGCATTCTCACCTCTCCTTGCTGAGAAATCTCACAGTTCCCTGTGCTAACCCCCTTGCTCCCTGCCAAAAATAAATCCAATTTGCCTAACTGCAGATGTGCTCCTGTCAAACTTTGGTTTATGGACACTAGCACAACCAAGAGCAACTTTACCAAACTTAGTTGAATTTGTATAATCACAACTGTTATGTGATTTAATAAAATACAATAATGATTAGCCTAGTAGGCCAACAAGGAGCAGTGCTTTGAGAGTTAGTCAGTGGTTTCCCTCTTTGCCTTGCCACTAAATCGGCATCTGCTACTGTTAAGAAGAGTACAGAAACTCAGGATACATATGCAGCAATTTTCATAACACTTTGACAGAGTAATTATATACATATTCAATCTAATAAAAATTAAGATAGATTTTAAGCACTGAACACAGCATTAAATGACTCCAATTAAATTTTTTTTCTCCCTTTCCCCTTCCTTTCCTCTCTTCTTTCTTTTTTTTTGTTTTTTGCTTTTCGTTTTCTTTTAGGCTTGTCTTTTGACCACCACTTTCTATAGTTTTTTCATCCTCCTCCCTTGTTGGGGACTTTTGGTTGCAGTATTATAACTTGGACTTTGAGAAGCCAACCTACAGAAGTGTTGCTGATCTACCGTCATCTGAAAGTTCTGAGCAGTGCACCACCTTGAATTTTATTAAAACTTAAGTGCATCAATTCTGACTGTCTTACCTGATTCTCTTTTATAAGAGAAATAAACTTTGAAGCAGGAGCTCCATTTTGGCTGTTCACATTTAGATCTTTGAGTTTTATCCTGTTTTTGGTCTTTTGGGGGATATTTGATATTGTCATGAATACAAACACATCTGGATAATGGGTCATGACTCACAGGATAATGCTCCTCATGTTAAAGAATCTGTGCCTTATTATAATCCAATTCATAGTACCCATTCACACTTATAATACAGCACAAAATATCCTATATTTAGATAGTGCCTTTGGAACACTTAAAGTGTCACAGAGTGAGACTGAAAAATCATATTAGAATGTAAACTCCGTGTCTGCTAGCTGTCCAAAAATTATTTGCATTTCACAACAGAGGCAACTATGTAGTAAGGGATCTACTACATTTTAGCTTTGTCTAAAGCTATCTCTATAAAGGACTATGCTTCTATTATCATGTGACAACTGTGCTTGGGAAAGCCAGCTTTGCTATCGAGCAAAAGACAGAGTGGAAAACTCTATCCAGTGTGCTGGCTCCGCAGTCCACAGAGCTAATTAAAGTACACCATTTGTCAAAGTCAGCAGAAGCCTTGGGTTTTAATACTTAAATACAAAAGCTTGCCTGGTACGATGGAATGTCTGTTCTTTAGTAATTATAACCAAAAGACTCAAATTACTTCAGTAACTGACACTCTTTATATAAATGGATCATCAGTAACGAACTAAACTTCTAGGCCTAGAAAGCTTATAAACAGATGCAGAAAAAAGTGCCCTTTTCTTATATTCTATAGCTAATGTTAGAAAATGCCCAATGAAACACGGAAGACCTGTGAGGTCACACATAAATAACATTATTTTGAAAGGGAATATTTCTTAAATTACTTTAGTGTTTCAACTTACAATATGTTAAAAAGCATGTGCTTTTTAAAAACAAATTACTACTTATGAATGATAAAATAATAAATATACATATAAAATAAAGTAATGAAAGAGTTTAAGTTTCAAAGTGATTGCTGTCCCCTTTTGAAAAGTTTATGATGAATGGAAAATAAGACATTACCCCAGAGACTGAAGTCCTTCTTTTGGAACATATCACAGGGAGAGATTCAACAGGGTGGAATACAGGGGGAACCACGTTGGAACTACTCAGAGAAAATCAACTACAAACACAGGAAATAGGACCAAAGGGAGGCACACACATCCTGATGCCCAAATCAATCTGAAATAAGAGACTTGTAGATCAGACAAAACATAGACATAGGACTTTACAAAACAGTAATCCAGCCTGGGGGGCTGCCAGTGGCATGCCGCCTGCATGCCAAGCAAGATTCACCGTACTGTGAAGTCTCCAAGAAATGGATGGACTGCGAAAGAGTGGGCTAACTCGAGCCAAATAGGACAGGTTTGGGACACAGGCCCCTAGTCACTTGTGCTTTCCTCTACACAGAGGATGTGGCAGCCTGGCAGAAAATTTCCTCAGCACTGCTCCCTCCTTAAGGGCCTGCCAGGTTCTCTTTTGTTACGTGCTGTAACTGAAAGTCCTAACAACGACAAGGTTAGGGACTGCAGTGGAGGTGATCCAGGACCCTTCCTTCCCTGTGACCAGTGAGAGGGATGCAGACGTGCAGATTAAACACCAGCGGCACTCCACCACCATGCCATGTGAGAGACGAGATTGAGGTGGACTCAGCAGCCTAGGGCTGCTTCCCAGATGACAGCAAAGCAGTGAGCCAGTAAGTCCAGAGACCACAGCGGTGTAGTGATGCACAGCAGTGGCAGCAGCAGTGAAGACAGAGAGTGGAATAGAACAATCCCTCCAGCAATGCGACTAGTGAGGCTTGGTACTACTCCACCACCACCCCACAATCCCAGCCCCCAAAGTACAGATCAAAGTAGGACTGGCTGTCTCTGTAGCAACAACAGGAGCAGAGAGACATCCCACAGCACCGCACCCACTCCAGTGCGAGAGGACAGAGACGCCAGTGGAAGTGGAACAGAGAAGGCTGGTCTGCCTGGGAGAAGCCAGTTGTATGCAGTGGGAGCAGCCTCTAGCTCTGTCTGAGGGTGCCACAGCAACTGAGAGAGAGACAGAGACCAACAGGTTTTGGGGGGCTTATTTGCTTTTTGGTGGTTTTTTGGGGGGTTGTTTAGGTATTCACCTTCATGCTTGTTCTGATCTATTCATCTTCCTTCTCTCTTTCCTCAAAGATCTCACTTGGTTTTACGATATGTACGTGTGAGTGAACATTCTCACTAGACCTTCAGGTCTGCTTCGATAACCTTTTGCTTTCTCCTTCATTCTCTCTCACTTGCCCCCTTCTCCTGTTTCCCAAAGCCTGGGCGATCATCCTTTGTCCTTCAGCCTTGCTGATGCTCT